CTTTGGAAATCTAGTTTTTTTTTTGTTAAAGAAATTTAAAAAAATAGATACCTACTATGATATACGACTTATTGGCATTGAAAAAAACCTATACAATCAATAGCAATTCGGATTCAGTGTTCCCGTAGGTAACATTCTACGTTCATTAAGAGTGCGGGACGATTAGTCACACGGTTCACGCATGAGTCATAAGTCACTAAAACGTGTGAATAAAACATGATTGAAACTACAAAGATGCACAACCTCTAGTTGTATGTAAATTGAATATATTCTGTATGATTTCAAATAGTGCCTCTGTAAAAATAAATAACAACGGAATCCGTTTTCAAAACACTTTGTCTACAATAATTTATTAAAAATACTGTTTGGAGTGAGATAAAAAATTCTTTGGTTTAAACATCCGACATTATTTTTCCAAATATTTTTTATATCCTACTTTTTTTGCAAATTGAGCAGATTTATTAGGAACTACACAATATTTATATTTATTATTTATATCCTTTTTGAAACTACAACACCACTATGTCTATTCAGTTACTTTGTTACTCAAAATTCATATTGTTCAGCTTGATGTTCACAAAATTACGTGTTAAAAAGCTTTTTCTGTTATGATTACTTTTTTTTACATCATGTAATTTCCTGATAGAATATAGTTATAAAAATGCAATATACAGCTATCAGATAATGATAATCTTACCAATTCAGGACTTTTTGAATTAATTTTAACACAGAATGAAGCCTGGAGAATTAACAAACTATAATATATTTTTCTTTATATGGACTCCCCTAAGCTTATTAGAAGCAGCTCATTATTTATAGNACCTTAAATAAGAAAGTAATTTTGAGAATATCATTAATTAGTTGATAGAAATTTATTGCGTCTGTTACCGTTTCGGCGTAATTTTCTTTATATAAATTAAACGCGAACACCGGCTGAAAGCATCACCACAGTTGTTTACGTCACACTTATTTTTTTGTATATAAATTACTGGGTGCCTGTCCTATCACTGATCTGTGATATCAAAATAAATTTTGTTTATCAATATTTTCATTAAACATTATTCGCCAACATTCTATCGGAACACGTACGTCAAACAAATTATTACCACTGACACTCACTCACTCAGTCCTACCCTCACTTCCCTAATACGTAAAATTAATTTCATTTTAAATTATTGTAATTATGGCCTACCTGCATTTAAAAAACAACAATAAAAAATAATAGGTACCTTTTTGTTTCATTGAACAGTGTCAAACATCTTTTAGGATGTAATTGCTAAATATTCTTATTAATTATTGATAACCAGTCCTGTTTAACAATTAAACAAACCCACTTACAATAATTCACTCGAGAATATAACAATATTCTTCACTTTATCTTTATTTTATTATTAATAATTAAATATGTCATAATCATACATAGGACGGTCTTGGTTTTACACGTTTCAATAAAGCTTTTCTCTAGATGCTCATTTAATAAGCAAGATTCAGAAAACCTTTAATTCAAATAAACGTTTTTTCAATATTGACACTGCTCGTTAAAACAAAAGTAATTCACATAGATTGGATGCTCACTACTGAGTTTATAGTAATCAATTATACATTGAATAGAAGAATAAAAACGCCGCAACAATTGGGTGGTAGTGCGTAGTACAAATTCAAATTAGCCACTTCAATTCAAATGAGTAAAAATGTGAGTATAATCTCAAACATGTGAGTGTCTACTCTCTTTTCTTCTGGATGTATTAGGTCCTCTAGTACCGACGTAGATTTATGCATGAATAAATGACGGTATCAACTCACACCATTAAGTGTCTACTTTCAAAAAAAAAAAAGCATCACCGTAATTGTTTACGTCACACTTTTTTTGTATATATTAGTAGCAAATCGGCGCATATAAATACCAAGTTTTTAGTTTTACGCATATAATTGTCTCCCACTATATTGGAAGATTAATTGTTCCGTAAGTAAAAAAATGTAATTTACTTTTTAAGAACTAAAATGAGACTTACAAATGTTTTTTCTCTTATTTTTTACGAACAAACACATATCAAAAACGAACGTTGAATTTGAATAACTTTTTTATAAAAGCAAAAATATATTTCTTTAAAGATATGTATCGACAAATAAATATTTATGATTTGATGCTTCGGTTACACGTACTGAGTAAAATTTGCGCTCACTCGTTACTAATAAGCGTTTATTATTACTTTATTTAATATTCATATATTTATGTATATGTTTAATAATAAGAATAATATAAATGGATAAAAGGAAAAGACGCTAACGTTGGTGTATCGATTGCTATTTTTTATGCCGTAAAATGCATCGTTATATAAAATTACTACTATACGCTACAGTACTTGCTACTCATTTAGGCGATCGGTTAATAAGGAAGATATTAAGGCACCATAACATTAGTATGCAATTAGTAAAAAAAAATTTATATCACCATGACGATTATACTTTGAAAAGTCTTATCTGGCAACTGACCTTGATGATAAGGGTCTGAAAAAAAAATAATAATAATTATTTCATTAGGCAGAATATTGGACAATGGGAAGAACTATAAATACCAACACAACACGAAAAAGAAAGTAACTGCTTAAAATAATTATTTATTAACAAAAAGTTGTCAATGAGAGGCAGTGAGAGAGAAAACTTTAATGTCCTTTGCCTGTGCATTATGGTATATTTTCTTCGTAAGTAAAAGAACTATTTAAAATCTTAATTTAAAAGCGTAAATATTACTGGAAAAATAAATAAAAATGATGTCTCTGATATTTATAGCTTCAAAAGAAGAAATAAAACAATTAATTTTTGACGAAGATTTACGTCAAAATAAATGCAGAATACGTTCGATTGTGTGAACTGAAAAATACAACAGTTTTACATTTTAATGCCAAAAGACATGCGTTTCTACAAGCGAAGGTTTAGTTTGTGCACGGTATACGGTGGTCTAGCTTAATCAATATACTATTCGTATTATGCGGATTTCCGTTACGCAATGTTTACATTATACTGTATTAATTTTCATATAGTGGATCTGCTTTTGAAACCGTTATATTTACTATCGCATCCGACTAGACGCGTTTTGTTTTATAATATCAAAGACTACCGTTCAAGCTTATTTTTAAATTAGAGCTGTAACTATCGTCATTCACTATTTATAAATGTATATTTAAATCCTAGTTAAAGACATTAATTAAATTGCTAATCAATTATTTGAGGCTAAAAAGACTAAGAAAAAAAGAAAAAAAAAATTGACAATAGTGCTAAAACTAATAAAATTATGCATTCTCACCTAACATTAGATCTAGGGGCGGGAATTCTCGAAACAGGTCTAGGTATTCCTGTACCACACATGCTTACAGGTCTAGGTAAACCACTAGGTCTAACTTGGTTACTTTTTGAGCTGGGTTGGTTAACTAAAATTTTTACCTGCTGATTTTCTTTGGACGCCGGCAGATCCTAAATGTAAATAAAAAAAAAATTATTCTTAACATACTTTTGTTAATTAAAACATTGTAATTAAATGAATGTGAAAATTTTAAATTAGATATGCATCAGATAGTGGTGTTAGGTACCATGTACCAAACCATAAGTTTCCAGTTAGTGAAGATTAGAATTTAGCGAGTATTGAGTAAACACATATGGTCTGGAGTGGTACCAAAGGAAAGGTACATGTATCTGTATGTTGGAAACAATAAAAAAAATCGAAAAAGTTCATCGTGACACTGTCCATACACTAGAAGGACGTTTTAAGTAAAATTAGAAATTTGGGAATTTTGAAGGCATTTTTTTTTCTTTATAAAATATAGATGATTGACAAGATCTAATTTTTGTTAGAAAAGCGTACACACATTTAGAAGTACTTAATGAAAAAACTTACATCAAATCTGTGCGTTGTCTTGCCTGCGTGTTCTTCCATCGTCCTCGTTACATCCATCTGATTCATGTCCGGTACCAAAGCTGTACCTTTTGATCTGGCGGCAGCAGCTAACAGACTTGCGCATACAGGGTTCAAATTCGTATATGAGCCCTTCAACTGTCTCGGTACACCGTTTAGGTTGGTTTGTGATCCCGTCAAATTCGTATAAGAATCTCGCAATTCTCGTCCGTTTCCTTCGTTGACGTTTTTGTTGCTAGATGGAAATTTTGGGCGTGGTGTGACTGCAAAATCGTCGCCCCGCCCTGACGTTCTTTTTGGGCTTTGCTGACTAGTGTTTTTTACGAAATTACGTTGTCGATTGCGCGCAGATAACAAACTTGTATCCGATCCGACCGAGGTTAGTTTAACAGTTGAAGATTTACCCGAACCGATGTCTTCCCGTTCTATTTCGGAATCGGACGCGGTCTGATTGCGCTGCTGCGTCAAGGATGTAATTGGGGATATGCCATCACCGTCCCACAGCTCCTTTATATGACGGGTATTAGGCTTTGGTGTCGATATGTCTTGCAAACCTACAGAAAAAAGAATGCCATGAGAATATTAATATCTAGGCAGCCATCGTCGCCGCGTAGTTATTTGCACTGGTTGACTTTTCAAAATATTTTCAACTTTTTTGCAGATGCAATTTCATTGACTTTTTCTGTTTTTTTAATTGAATTTTACTTTTCTTCCTATTTCATTTTATAATTTAGAATAAGAACTTTTTTTAAATAATTGTAACTGCATTTTTTTACATTGCTTAAATTACAAAACAAAGTTGCAAAATTTTTTATATCTAGTGCAATTTGTTAATTCTTGAGAGGGGGACGTCACTTAAAAATAATATAATTAATTCCTTACTTCTTTCTTGTTGCTGTACGATAGCATCGACGTCGGCCATATTGAGCATTTTGTTAGACCCCTTGCTGCTGCTTGAGAGACTACTCATCTGATCGAGACTGTCTTCCGATCCTCCGAAAGGACCTACAGAGTCACGTTTTATATTAATAGTCTCTCCTAAATTGTCGGAGGCAGGGAAAAAGTTGCGTTGGTTGTCATCCAATACGTAACTGAACCGTCGGATTTTCGCGTTTTCATTATCTTTCGTCATAATAACGGTGTCGTTGATTGGTTGTACGACCATCGTTGTGTTAATGTCATCGTCGTTGTCGTTGTTAGCATCGTCGTTTGCATGGTTGTGTGCGGGAGACGAAGATTTCTGGAAAGTGGTACCAAAACGTGGACTGGAATTTTTTCGAAACGTGTTGCTTTGTTGAAGAGTAGGTTTTCGGTACGTGTTGGTGTCGAATGTGGTGTTTTCTGAGGATGCTTTGTTGCGGACGTATGTGCCAGAGTTAAAAGAGTTTCCTGAACAGAAAATATTGTCATTTCATGTTGAAAATATAACATTAATTTGTGTAAAAAAATATCAGTGTATTCTAAATGTTTAAGTAACATTCTTGAAGTGAAAACTTCTTCAGGCGCGTTTATTGCTGAAAACCGAACGTAAGTGAACCGTCACACTATGTGCTTCAGGTTCGTGAAGGTGACGCTGAATCGGGTTTACTCGGTTCCAGTCGTCAGCCACCGTGTGATTTATAAAAGCAATGAAGAAGCCCAATCAGAGCAAAATTCCACAATATAATTAATTCAC